TATTTTTTTTCTTGATGAAGTAAAATAAAAAAAATAAAAGAATAAAATAAAATCTACAAAGTAAAAAAATATATTTTTGACAAAAAATGCTATGGCGTTAATGGGCCACCATAAGYCTGTCTTACTASAAGAGTCTTGGCATGATTGCATCGAAAGTAAGACAGTTATACCAGCTCACCTTATCCGTATTGACGAAGATGATGGCACAACTCGATTGGCTACTGATTTTTTAACAAATATGCCCATTCTCATCACTGAAAGATCCACCAACACAYAAAATCCAAGATCACACAATAGAGAAACTACACAAGAACAAGAGCCCAATAATGATAATGATTATGAAGATGAGGTTTTAGATTTGTACCCAAAGCATGATGAAAACATCAACTTCGAAGACAAYATGTTACCATTAGCATCAACTGAGAATGATGATTGCACTCAAACTGTGCAGCAAACCAATAGTCGATCAAGTGGTCATGAAAAAAACAATGCTGAGGGAATACAAGGGAATTCACATAATTTAAAAGGACAAGTTACTGAACATACTTTTAAAAATAATGGGAAATTACAAACTTGTCTTGGGAAAGCAGTAGCAGTTATCCTTGGTCAGACACCAGAGGTTTAACTTTTAGACATAAAGCATTACAAGCTAAAAAAGAATATAAAACAAAACCATCAGAACAGAGATAAACATATCGAAAAAGCATATGAAGATGCTCTAGCAAGCTTCCAAGTTAAAGTCCTGAGAGAGAAGACAAATGCAGAGAAAAAGTTCAGTACATGTGATATAATATTGATATAAAAAATCATTGAGCTCAACATTATGAAGATAATTTTTGAAAATGGCAAGAGAAATTTCAAGAAATGAGTCAACTGCACATGAAAACTTTCCAGGGTGGTTTAAACAATAATTCATGAAATGTATCAATAGACTGCCCAGAATGAGTAACACACAAAGATTCCGTTTTTTTATCGGCACAATTATCAATATTAGATATAAATATATTGCCATTAATAAYATGTGCTTCKTTCTTTGTGATTACAGGGATTAAAATTACCATTCGAGGAATATGGAATTCGTCTAAACAAATACTTTCGCCTGAATTTATAGATAGAAAAAAAGTACTTTATTTCACACGTAGTAATGGTGTTGGTTGGCGTCAGTATTACGCTGACTAAGAATATTAATGACCAGAGCATAATTCTATAGTTAGTTGTCGTAAAACAAAACACGTGGTAAGTGATTGTGCAATTCCAGACGTTTGGCACCTCGTTGCGCAGTGTACTTTGATGGCACGATGGCCGATTGCGATTGATTTGTTTTTCGTGTACAAATGGCACTGGCCAATAAATGAGTACTTTAACTCAATGTGAGAATTCAATGAAAGGTACTCTGTGTTCTTGTTAGACAGTTTTGTTTGTTTTAAAACTGATAGATTGTCAAATAGTGCAATGGCACGCTGGTATTCGTGAACGCGTTGGTTCGTTTTGGTACTCAAGTTTATTGAACACGCTGGTTCGAAAACTGACTAAAACACTCTTAGGAAGTGTGCACAGGTCAATWCAACAAAATAAAGGAACACCGCTTATGGTCTTTTCAGTACTTTACTAGTAACTTGACAATTTCTTCCTTTAGTAGCTATGGCGAGTGGCGTACTACTTCGACGACTCGCAAGCGATTTGTCTTCGCAAGGACCACGAGACTATCGTGGCTTCCGATTGGTTTAGATCGGAGTTCTATTGTGTGATCCGATTTGGTTGAGTTCTATTGTATGCCCTTMTTGGTAAAACTCGTAATTCCATTGTTACATTAAATTACATCGAATCGAGCTTCGTTCTCCATAACTTTTTCGTGCATCGGCTCTACGATGCTCCCGCCTCTCAAGCCTCGCGTCTTCGCTTGGCTGGCTCGTACAGTTAAAGAATCTAAAGTTGAGCAGAATTATRGTATGTCTACACAGATTTAATAAAACAAAATGGACATACTTCAGACAGTATTTTTTTTATCTTCAATAAACAATTGATTCACAAAGKATGGTACGAAAGTTATTATTTTTTTCGTTAAGATTATGTAAGTGAAATATATCAAACCCTGGTTCAAACTCCAAGAGAAAAAATTCGACAACTGAATGAAGATATCCAAAAAAGCGTTCCTGGGCAATGGACAGTGCTATGGCAGAAAAGCAAACGGAGGAAGAGGCAGTCCGAAAATACAGACAAAAAAAGATATGGAAATGGAAACTGTGCCTCCTACTTGCACAAGTATATTCATATCATATTCATATTTTTTTATATTGTCAACTATTAATGATTATGAAATTCACTGGATTGATTGAACTAGTAATAACAATTTTTAAATTCTGGAGGTTTGGGAAAGGTGTTTTTGATTATGAAAAATAGTAGGAGTGCATACTAGATAATCATATCACTGTATTAATAACATTTGTTGTYGATTAGCTTTCTTTGAATTTCTTTAAGAGATTAGGAACTGGGAGCATTAATTCAGCCAAGACAGGGGAAAAAACGAAAACCTCGGGAGTGTCAAGGTTGCCATAAGCCAATGAAAGGTCACGAGAGGCCCATGCCCTTATAAGCAAAGAAAAAGAAATCATCTACTCTTTATGCGCTGTTATCGATGCTTCATYACTGGAGTCGTGCAACTGATGGGACCGGAACAGCTGTAAGAGTTGTGTTATTCGATTATTGTAAAGCTTTCGATCTGATCGATCATAATATTCTAGTCCAAAAGATCCTTGGTCTGAATATCCCTGGGGGAGTGGCTAATTGGGTCATCGATTTCCTGAGCCAGCGTAAACAACGTGTCAAGCTGTCAACGGACTGTTTATCTGAATGGGGCCCAGTGCCTGCCGGCGTCCCTCAGGGAACAAAACTTGGTCCTTKGCTGTTTTTACTGATGATCAACAACTTGAATGTGGATGTTGGGGATGCCTGGCATGGAAGTATGTGGACGACACAATTATCGCTGAAACTGTACCAAGAGGCCTTCCAGGTAACGCTCAAATCTCCGTCTCCGTCGTTGAAGACTGGTCGCGGGAGCATAACATGCAACTAAATGCAGACAAGTGTAAAGAACTTACCATCGACTTTAAAAAGAACACTCATGTTTTTGCCCCTCTAACGATCGAGGGTTAAGAGCTTCCAGTTGTAAACTCGGCTAAAATACTAAGGTTAACCATCAGCAACGACCTMAAGTGGAATGATCACATATCAGAATGTATCAAGAAAGCTAACAAACGTTTGTACTTCATTGTTTCATTAAGAAGGGCTCGTGTTCCCACTAACGACATTATTGACTTTTACTGTTCAGCGATAAGACCTGTCTTAGAATATTGCGCGCCTGTATTCCATCATGCACTACCAAGTTATCTTAGTGACGATATTGAGCGCGTGCAAAAGAGAATTATGTCTATTGCTACACCGAACTCTTCGTACATTGATAGTTTAACGAACGCTGGGCTCGTCACCCTTAAGGACAGACGGAACAATCTTTGTAGTAAGTTATTCTCTGCGATTTCTAATGACCCAAATCACAAGCTGTATAGTTTATTGCCTCCATTAAATGGATCTACGTATAATTTCAGGCGACCTCGCACATATCGCTTACCGTATTTTAAAACCAACAGACACAAACGGTCATTCATCCCGGCAATGTGCTGTTTATAATGTATATATTAGATGCATGTAAATAGATAATTCCAATTTCTTAGTACAGTTTTTATATAGATTTTATATGGTTTTATACTTATTGCAACCTGACTGCCTGCCTGCCTGCCTGCCTGCCCGCCACTGCATGAAAAAGGTTGTTTAAGGGCCCTTAAACTATATTTAAACCACCCTTATACTAGTAGTTTACTGTTTGAATAAGGGTGTATCATGGTTGTATAAGATCTTCTTACACAATCACGATCCGCCGTTTTGAGTATACGGGTCCGTATATATGGTATCAGGGAACATTGTACAACCGTATACAGCCAGTACACAACGAGTTTAATGATGATATAAGAAGGTATACTAAATCTTTGTATTAGGGCTCTTATATGTAATTCGTATACCTCGTGTATCGCGACTCGTATACATTGTGAATTAGGACCCGTATACCTTGTATCATAACTACCGTATATCAGAAACGGATTCATGGAATATAAGGAATCTGATACGTGACTCGTATATCGCGCGTTACAGAATGTCGGTAATAGAACAACAATAGAATATTCTCCTGTTATTTGGAAGTAGCGATAAAGCCATCAATTTTAGAATCAGTCGCGTGATCGCGCCATCTCTTATTAATGAAACATCAACATATCTATACTTGCTTCAAGGATAAGTAAATTTTATTATCATATATAGAATGAAATTTTAATCAGTGTTTACAGAAAAATCGACCGTTTTGGCTAGTATAAGAATTTAGCCTGAACTTTAACATTAGGTCAGTAAACAAGCAGAATATAAATAGTTACATATGAATATACAAAGTTTATGATTTCTCAGGTGAACTTTAGACAAATTCCATTTCGGTTTCATCTTCGCTTTCAGTTTCGCCTTCTTCACTGAAATCAGTGTTATCTTCACTTTCGGCACTTTCTGTTTCGTCTTGATCATTACTAAAAGAGGAAAATATAGGTTTTTAAAAGCTATAACTCTGATGTGCTTACTGCGTGGTGATCGCAGACTACCTTTCTTACGAAGGTTTAGTTTTGGTAATCTTTAAAACCAGACAATTTCCTATGCATATAAGAATTACTAAGTATTTTAGATAATACTCACTTTGCCTCTTCCGCAGCTTGCTGTTGGGCTTGTTTTTCCTTTAGCCAATCTTGGCTGATTGCCCATACGGGCGTTCCAGTTGGAGGATCAACATCCTTCTCCTCGCCGACTAGTCTCTTTACTTTCTTAGCAAACTTTGGTTGCTTGCTTGATCTTTTTTTGTGGATTTTGTCTAACCTATGATGAAAATTAACAAAAATTTAGTCCTTGTCGCTATTACAAGTACAATGTCACGACAGCAATGTTTTTATTAATTTCGTCCTGACGAGAAAATGATGAAAACTGATCACTCATTTAAATACTTATATTCTTACTTGTTTAAAAACATTTTCATCTTTTCGCTTCGGTAACACGCCGGGCACGCGCGCCCCGAAAAACGGCAAACTGTTTGTACCCTGTAGCCATATTGGACGAGTGAAGATTTAGGGGATCTGGGAACGAATTAGCGAACTTTCGACGACTACTTCAAATGAGCCTTGTGATTGGATACGATCTTTTACGATGGTCAATCGGTTGGCGGGAAAATGTAGAGCGAAGATGAAGCTTTCCATTGATACCAAAAATGGCGGGTAAAACAACTTGCTAGTGAGCGTAAGAAGCCACTATTTGTAGCCATTTTTTGATTTTTTCGACATTATRACTTGAACGGTTGAGAAAATGCTTRATTTATTTTTTTCATCTTAAAGTTTTKCACTCTAAAAATGTACTATTCGTTAATTTAACTGTCCAAACTACAACGCTATCATTTTAGTTTTTCGATTTGTGTCTTTGATTCTTGGCGCGATGKAAACAAATCTCTGTCAAATTGTCAACATCCCAAAGATGGGCCGTTACAGGATT